GTTACTAAGGATTTCAGGAATCAATATTGTTTGTTTAATCATAATGTAATATGATCATAATATTTATCTAGACAAAAATAATTAATATGAGACTCATTTACATTAGGTCTATTACTATAAGTGAGTAAAATCATGATGATATATAAAACATGTGATTTACTAATGATTATCATAATTTTTACGTGAAACTCTCTATGATGTGTGTGAACATTTATTTTTTTTAATTATTTAATTAATTTTATCTATTTATTTTTATTTGCTATTATTATCATTTATTTATGAACCTAAGTTAGTCATAAAGACAGTAATTAACACAAAATGTTGATATTTATCAACTAACTAAGGTTTTAAATTATCATTTTATTTAATTTTTATACAATAATGGATAATAGATTATTTTGTTTTAACTTGTAGAATGTATTAGTAATTTTTTTTGATTTGAATATAATATAAAAAGAATTCTATTTTCAAAGTTTTTTGGGAAATAAGATGGTATTGTTTTAGAGAGATATATTTTAGGATGATATATTTTAGTTTTTACTGATCATGATCATAATTAATAATAAAAAAATACAAGTTATAATAAAACTTCGCATAATTTTAATAGTAATTAATTGAATAAATAATAAATTCATTCAGACAACTATTCAGATAATTTCTGTAACAATTAATTAATTAATATAATAATAATTTCAGCCTAACAGAGGCAGCAAGAACTAAATACCCAAGACTAATTGAAGATTAGTGAAAGATTAATTTGTTGAAAACGAATTAGATCTATAAGGATAAATAATTAATTAATAGTAACATTTAGGAATGAAATTTAAAATAAAATTTAAAATAAATAAATAAATTTATTAAATTAAATTAAATCTACTCAAATACATCACACTACAGTATAACTGAAATTGTAATCTCATTTTTAATAATATCAATTATTATATTGTTATAGGAAGATAAGATTATATGACATACGTGACCAAAAGGTATATTGACTGCATCACGAAGACAGTGAAGATGAGAGAAATGAATTAAACAAAAATTACGTGAAAATCCAAAAGTCACCAAAAAATTCTATTATATTATTAATTATTTTGTATTATTAATCATTTATTATTTATAATTAATTAGTATTTTATTTATTTATATTAGCAAATTTAATATAAATAGGATAGCTTTAGGACTTGATTAAGGCAGACAACTTTGAGTAGTAATAAATAGTAGTAGATAACAAGAGATAATAATTTGTAAACAATTAGAATTCAATTAGTTTTTATCACTAACAAGATAAATACTAATAATAATTATATACTAACAAATATAATTATATCGAATTTTTTATTCCTTAATAAAATCCTAAAGTTTATTCTAAATATACATTATCGTTTGAAGTAATAATTATTTGTAAACCCTTCAGAGCTCTCTCTAAAAGTATTTAATAAAAGCTAAATCCCTTTGTTAATCTTGCGTTAATACTAATTTTCAGTTATTAATATCGTAAGATAACAATTTGGTGCAGATTAGGTGGATTAAAAACCAATTTGACAAATCAAACATATATGAAGGATACTTAAACAATTAACAGTAGCTGTAGGACCTATTTTTCTCTAACTTTAGCTACGGGTCACTGAGATTCAATTTCAGTATAAATCATTAGAGAACAAAAAAGTTATTTTAATCAATCACCTTAAATATTTACAAAGCAACATTAACGACCTAAAACATTTTATCAAATTTCATAAGATTAAGGCCACGTGGGACAAATTAATATTTAGTGATGACTATTTTGACAACAAATCTTAATAAATCTGGAGGAATCTAGCACTGATTATATTATTGAAGAACAATATCTACTAACCGTCTGACAACACATAGCTGCTCATAAGGAACTTGAGGATTATAAAATCTCATTTATTATCCATTTAGATCAATCCTGCCTATAGTGTCATCTAGATTACAAAACTCAATCAAAAAAACTACCATCTTTTGATAATTTTTGGTTTCTGTGAATTGTACCTAAATATAACGCTGTATTATACACTACCTTTACTGTAGTATATTTTATAAGGGTCTAAAAGAGTGAGGCTAGCTTTTTGAAAAAAAGACCACTTATTGAAATATTTATTGAGAAAAATTATTACTACAATTAGATATAAGGACAATATACTAAAGGAATCTTTTGATAGTATTGCTGATAAATTATATTAAATTTGGGTAAAAACATAACAGTTTTAATCGTGGGAAATTGAAAGTATTAGCAATACTGATTCAATTACAAATAGCAATTATAGTGATACTTCAGAAAATATGAAAAGAGATCAAAATGATACTATCATAGCATCTTTTCAGGGAAGTAATAAAAGCTTCCTAGGGATGACACTGCTAGTAGCAATAAATAGACTACCATCAGGAACTACCACACCCATACTCTAACTATCATTTAACATACCATTTTATGTACAATCATGATAACTATACCTAGAAGATAGGAGGCAATATGACGAAGAAGAAAATGACACATATACCCCTGATTATGAACAAAATATTCTATTTGGATATATCAATGATGATGACGAAACATTATAGGGAATGTCTTTCTTTGACAATGCAAATGAACTAGAAGGAGGAAGAACCCCAAATAGAATACCTCGAAAAGTTACATTTAATACAAGTAATGATAGGAGGTCTCCATCCCTTATTAGGGTAGAAAATGTTCAACAATTAGTATTCTTAACATTATTCAATAATCTATTGTCAAGGCTAACAAATTTAAGGATAACAACTCCATCAGTAGAAAATACAGATAGTGGATCATCATTAGCAAATCCTTATAATTTTTTTTAAGCAACTCAATATAGTTGTATATTTAATTTCTTGGCACCACTTGATCCTTTCTAAAATAGCAACTCATTTACAACCTCTAGTTTTACAACTGCAAATTGGCAACCAGTAAATAACCGTTGGTTTAGAAGTAACTCAAATAGCAGAGAAAATAATACAATGGGACATCAAAATGCAACTACCAAAGGAATCTCACAATCAATAATAGTAGCCTAACCATATAATATGCAGTCACCATCAAACTCCTAAGAGGCAGTTCCCAATCAACTAGTATAATAACTTCTCAGTTAATACCTAACAGTCAACTGTCAAATAATACAAACACCTCTCAACTAATACTTACATTTTAACCAGTTATAGTACCAGTAGGAGAAAACAATGACAATGCTTACCTTCAAGTCATACAAGGGCTAGCAGGATGGCTTCAAGGATAACAAATGAGAAAACAATGATTAGTAGATTTGCCAACATTTAGAGGAGAAAATTAGGATCCAGTAGAGTGGCTTGAGGCTTTCAAACGAGCTTGTAAGGCAAACTATATTAATATCACTCAAATAGTTAAAATAGTCCCCAGTTATTTAACAGGAACAGCACTGACATAGTTCTAACGACAATATGTTACTAACTGGAATAGTAGGATCAATCCTGGTACTTCTTTTGTATCATTATTTGAACAACATTTCTGCAATGCATTTCGACAAAATCAATAGAAACATTAGCTTAGGTATAGAAAGCAAAAACTAGGCGAAACAATTGAGGAATATGCAGCAGCAATAGGAGAATTATGGAAGCAAGTTGACTCATGGTATAGATGAGCCAAGATGGATAGAGTTGCTGAATTTATTGAAGGGTTGCGACTAGAATTTATAATACCAGTGCAAACAGCAATGCTGATAACAGTAGATCAAGTAATTGAAAAGGCCAGAGCAGTAAAATCTGTATATTCCATTGGAATAGAACTATCTGTCTATTCATTAATGCCTAATTATATGCAATTAGGAATGGTACCAGCTTGTACAAATATAGCAATGCAATCTACATATATTACACAGCAACCAGATATTGAGAGCACTATTAATCACAAAATAAATGAAGGATTACAAGCGATTATGGTAAACATTAGGCAACAACAACAATAACAACAGTAGCAGTAACAGCTACAACAACGGCTACGCAAATGTTTTAATTGTAGAAAATTTGGACACTTGTCTAGAGATTGTAGAAGTAATTAACATATGAATAATGACCAATCAAACATTGAATGCTTTAACTGTGAGAAGTATGGCCATTTCATCAGGGATTGCAAGAGTATAAACAATAATAGAGATTAAAACCTTTAAAATCATACTGATAATAACAGAAATCGTAACTGCAGTAATAGCAGGAATAGGAATTATAGAAATAATAATAATAATAATAACTATAATAATAATAGTAATAATAATTATAATAATCAACAGTATTTAAACTAGAAGTCGCACCTCTTAGGGGTGAATGTGCGAATAAACTAAAACCTCTAAAAACAAAAGAAGAGGAAGAAGCAAAAGAGAATAGTCAAGGTGAAATAAAAATAAAAGCAAGTTTAATAGAAGTACCTTATGTATGTAAAGGAATAAATTCAAAAATGTGATTCAGAGGACTATATGAAAACAAATATGATTACTCCAGTTGTGAAGAATATGATCATTATAGTCATATTGTATGTACAAATTATAATAAGATCATTAAAGAAATAGTAATACGATGCGAATATAAGAAAGTAAAATGGAAGGATCCACTAACTGATGAAAAGATTTTCAGTAAAAATCAGCCAATTAAACCAGTAGATCTTCAACAACAAGGAGAAATCACCATTAAGAAAAAGCTGAAGTATATGTTAGGAATCTTATATGACAAAGGAATCTATCTTTCAAAACAAATTAACCCAAATAAGGAAATGTATAACTTATGGCAAACAGTAAGTCTGTTCATTTCCGGTCAGTCAGTTTTTTCATTCAGTTTTTGTTAAATTTGGTTGAACTGATCTTTTGTATGACGTGAACTAATTCTGAACTTTAAAAACAAAAAAATTGGCGTTTTTTTAGTTCAAAAAAATAACGCATCACGTCAACCAACCAGAAGCGTGAGAAACAAAAATTTTCTCGTCAAAAATTGTTAAAATGTCTTCTCGCCAAGTTGACGCTAATGGTTTTCAAGGTTTTTAAAGCTATAAAAATAACCAAAACTTACAAAAATACAGATCTTTAGTTCCAAAGTTACTATATACTCAAATGGTTGATAGCTTTTCTCAGCAATTTTTAAATTTCTAATTATAGATGTCTGTTGAAACCTCCTCAAAATAATTTCGCCATACCCTTTTCTATGTTTTTAATATAGTTTTGACTGTTTTAGCTTTTATTGTATCAAATGGGTTTTGTCGTATCCCTTATTATGATTTTAATATAATTTCATCTAAGTTTTGACTGTTATTAAGGGATTTTGTCTCTCATCTATATTTCCAATTAATATCTAAGTCAGGTACTCAAGTATTAAAATCAAGTACTCTGATAGTAGCTGCTAATATAAACACTCAAGTAATAGAAAGGTCAAACATTATCATTAATACTACTAAAAGGGAAAGACCAAATGATTATGATTCATTGCATAAAACTAATGTTCTTCAACCTAAGGAAAATACTGGTTTTTTGTTACATGATATTAACTCTGAACTTGATCCTCAATATTAAGAGGATTTTAATCAAGAGAACTTAATGGTAAGGATAAAATCTCAGCTTTTATAATTAAGTATTTTGGTAACTGACTTTGAAATCAATTTAGGATTTAGAAAAAGTGAAGAAATTAAGACAAGAAAAAAAGAAGCAAAATTTCTGATGATCAACCTCAAACTATTAATAGATAGAATGATAACGAAACATATAAACTATTGATTAATCTGAAAGATAATTTCAATAAATATCAGAAGGGAAAAAAATCTGAATTTTATGCTTTGGTTTCCAGAGATATTATTAAATCAAAAACTGCAAAAAGTATTAAAAAGCGATTGAATAGACTCTTGAAAAAGTATGGCAAAGTGAAGCAAGAAAACAATCAAAGTGAATCAGGACGAGTTGACTGGAAATGGATGAATATTATGGATAAAATTTTCGGATGTCACGAAAATGTTTCATCTTCATATCTTTTAAATGAAAAATCAGGTTATATCAGGTATGAAATAGATAATAATCAAAATATGAAGGGTGAGAAAGATAATAGAAAGATAATTAAAAAAAAGAAAAATAATATTGAATCTTGGTTTGAGGTTATGAATAACATCAGTGAAATAAAATTAAAATCTCTAAACAAAGATTAGAATTAAAATGAGAAAAAATGAATAATGATTTCAAACTTCAATCACAAAAGTTGGAAGTTGAGAAGCAAAAATAGGAATATAAGCGGGAACAATTAAAGATGCTGCATGAATTAACAATGAAAAAATTAGATTTACAGTTAAAGCAATGTAATAAACAATAATAATAGTTAGTAATAATAGTTAATAATAATAGTAATAATAATAAATAATAATAATAATAAGAAATAATGATAAAACTTAAATTTTCTTTATATTTATTGATAATTGCTTATTATTCTAATGATGTAAATAATTTTCTCATAACCCATTTTCGTTTTACTTTTTCAGCTTTTTTTAATTCATCACGATCATCATTATAATTATTTAATTCACTATCATCAGTAAAGTTATCATCATTTTGTTCTTTTCATATATTATTAACTAATTGTGTAAAATGATAGCACAATCAATTAAATTGATTGCAGTTGAAATTTTTTTAACAAATATTTCTCTTACTCCCATAAATCTATTTTTTAATCTGCCAAATGAATGTTCTACTACAATATGATGTGATGAAAAAATTTGGTTAAATCTTTTCTGTTTATTATTAGGTCTACTGTAAGGTTTTATTAAAAATGGGGACAAAGGGTATGCACTATCGCTAATTATTTTAATAAAAGAAGATTTATTTAAATAAAAAAAAGAATGACGATATACTTTTACATCATGGACATTACCAGGCTAACCAACATTATAACTGATGAAAATACCTCTAAATCAACTATTCCTTGACAATGTAAAGCATACAGTCAACTCTTTCTACAACGAATTTTGATATAACGAATTTTACAATACAACGGATTTTCAGTGTCGGACAGATT